GAGAGAGTCTTAAAAACAAGTTTTCTTTAGGATGAGTTCACTTGAATGCCACTGCTCAAAAACAGCACTTGGCCAGGGTTAACAGTTCTTGATTCTGTTTCTGTGCTGTATTTAGATGTGCTTCCAGACTCAACTCTTGAAGGCTAGATCTTCTCTAAGAAGCAGGATCACGCACAGAAGCTGTGGATACTGCCTGAGAGGACAAGCTTGCCTCACGTGGAGGGTCTGAAAGAACATCTGCAGCAGGAGACGCTTCCCTTCAGTGATGACTCATTACCCCTTCAACCACAGGGTATCCTAGGGTCACCCGAGGACAGGGCCCAGATTGCTCTACATCTTTTGACAATAAGATCAGCAAAATCAGTGGGCAGTGAAGAGGTCAGCTGAAGTTTACAGGCAAAGGATGGGGAAGCAAGAGAGAACTGACTCCTCCTAACCAAAAGTGTGTTTCGGAATTATAAAAAAAAAAGAATAGTGAACTCAATTAAGTCAATCTATCAATGAAAAGATAATTTAGAGGAAACCATCAACTGATGAGAGTAAAAACGGTATGATGCTTAGAAGGGAGAGTTAGAAAATAGTCATTCATTCATTCATTCATTCACTCACTCAAGAGATATCTGTAGAGCACCTACAGTGTGCCAGGTATAACGTATGTGATGGCAACTCAGCAGTGCAGAGAACAGACAAAGTTCCAGCTCTTGTGGAACTTCCACAACAGACAAGACACAGATGAATTCAGAATCTCAGACTGTCACAGTGATGCCAGACAGAAATGCATTTGGAAGGAAAAACAGTTTACTTTCACGTATGCTTTTTTGGGTATTTCTGTCCACCCTGCAGGGCTCCTCTGGAAATGTCAGTGATGCTGAGTGGTCTGATTTTACTATATATTTTGTTTATTTCTGCCAGTAATGTGATGGGTTCTATTCCAATTTTGTTTACAGAATTCGAGATCTATGATTCCCAAATGTATAATAGTGAGACATTTGATATTTTTGATTTCTCAATTGGGAAACTGTATATATATGACTCCCTGGATTTAGGAGGCCTGCTTAGTATTTTCCCCTTGCATGTCCTTTTAAGTCATTTTAAGTTAAGTAGATAAAAGGGACTTATCGACTAGAGAGAAAGATAACCAAGCGATAAGAAAGGAGACGGTTACTTTATCACCTTTCTCCATTTGTTTTTCCAGATCACTGGAATTCTTCACATACAGTGCTTATGTCTTCCCTTAGGAATAAAGCAGAATGCAGTTCTGTGGCATGAGCGGAGGTGGCAGAGATGGGCCAGAACAGATGGGAGGTGGGGTAGTCCGAAGCCAGGCTGCAGGGGCAATGTGTCTTGTAGACTGAGCACCCAGAGTCTCAAAGCATCTTTTTGGAAAAGCTAAAATCACAGGGAGATACCTGTGGCAAAACCCCTCAGTCTGCATGCTTACAATAAAACAGAAGAGAACATGTCAGATAAACAATGTATATATTCTGGAGAAGAATGAAAAGCCTAAATAGAACCTTAACCTCATTCACAGGTAGATCCTGGAAAGAAGAAGTGACTGAAGCGTGGGCTGAAAATCCTAAATCCCATATTATGATACACATGTCACAGAAGTGATTAGGTAGCAACATGCACACATACTTGGAGCAGCTGTAAATACACCAGGAGCCTTGGAAACGCTTGGACTGACTGTTCCAGTGAGCTGGAAACACACACAACACACCAGCTAGTGGGTGGGGAGCTCTCTCACAGGATTTGGGGGTCATCCTAATGGAGGCGGACTACATAGTCTTAATACTGAGAATAGACCCTGCCAACCTCACAACTTAGTATTTTCTCATCGGTCACAAGAATGACAAGACTTCGTGGCCAAGAAGCTTCTGCTGGTAAGCGCCTGGCCTCAAAGCAGGAAAATCTTAACAGTGAGAAGTGTTTCTCTGCAGCAGAATTTTCTCCCACAAGGGTCTACATTGTGGAAGACTCCTCTCTGGCGGCCTGAGCCAGCGCCACTCTGGTGCAGATATGCAGTGTGGACCAGCGTGGGTGATTGCTGAATTAAAAGATGCTCCCCACTATTCTACAGTTCTATATTCCAAAAACATGATATGTGATTTTATATGGAGCAGTCTGCATGGACAGAAAGACAACCTGCGTTTTATAGGTGTGATGTCAAGATGAAAGCGGTTACTCATAACTTGACAGCATACTCCCACCAAATGACGTGAAAGGAGATTCAAGTGTGTTCTGGGAAACTTGCCGGAACACTGTCACATCTCTGGTGATCTAAGGTGGGCAATTAAAAGCAGGCGGTGTGATGTCAAGATGAAAGCGGTTACTCATAACTTGACAGCATACTCCCACCAAATGACGTGAAAGGAGATTCAAGTGTGTTTTGGGAAACTTGCCGGAACACTGTCACATCTCTGGTGATCTAAGGTGGGCAATTAAAAGCAGGTCCTTAAAAAGCTACCTTAGAGTTCTGCTCTCAGCAGGTGGGCAGGACCTATATCCTCTAAGTATCCGATTCCCCCAGGAAGCTTCCATTAACAGTGACAATCTGTCAAATGACACACCTATGTTTATTCCATCATGAGTAAAAAGAAAGGTCAGCTTTGACAAGCTCCTGATTTCACCAAACCTATTATTTGTCTGTTTTCTATTTCATTGCTTTCTGGTCTTTATTCTTTCTTTCCTTCTACTTAGAGATTAATTTCTCTTCTTTTTCTACCCTTGTAAAGTGGAAGCTTAGATCATCGACTTTCAACCTTTAAAAAATGTTTCTAATGCACACATTTTAAAGCTATAACTATTCCTCTACACACTGTTTTAGCTATGTCCCACAAATTTTGATATGTTTTTGTTTTCTTTGAAATATTTTAAATATCCTTTATGATTTCTTCTTTGATCCATGGGTTTTTTAGAAATGTGTCATTTGATTTTCAAATATTTGGGATTTTACATGCACATACATCTTTGTTATCAATTTCTAATTTAATTTTTTTTGGTTAGATAATGTACTCTGAGGGCCGGCCCGGGGCTCACTTGGGAGAGCGTGGTGCTGACAACACCAAGGGTTAAGATCCCCTTACCAGTCATCTTTTAAAAAAAAAAAAAGAGAGAGAAGAAAATGTACTCTGTATAGCTCCAATTCTTTAAAATTTATTGAGACTTGTTTTGTGGCCCAGCATATAGTTTATCTTGGTGAATATACTATATACATTTGAAAAGAATGTGTATTTGCAGTTGCGTGAAATGTTAGATATCAATTAAGTCAAGTTAGTTGAGAGTGTCTACTTTATCCCAATTCATTTTTCTATCTCCTTGTTCTGTCAGTTGCAGAGAGGAGAAGACTGCAATCTCTGCTGAAGCCCTGCTCTTTGCTGCGTCCACAGTTAGGGGTGGTACGTCCCCTTGATTGTGACATGGCCTGGAAATCGGCCTTTTTCACATGAGTCCAACCCCACACTCTGGAAAAGATCCTGCAGCCCAGCACAGAGGGCGACTGACAGGGGATGCTCCAGGATAATTCACCGAGTGCTTTCACAGCACTGTGGGCAAATGAATCCCAGTCCCTAGTCAGGGGCGGGTGCTGGCCAAGGATGATGTTCTCACTGGTCTGTGGTGAAATGAGGAAAATAAGGCAACGTGCGTGTGTGGT